AAAATTAAGTGAACTTAAAAGTAACTTTAAACTTACCTGAAAGACACTCGACACCTCCGAAAATCGAACACCATGGGAAATACGATAAGGTCACGATTACGCATACAAAACAAGCACGTGCCGGAATTAAGCAATTGCAAGCCAGTCTATGCTGAGAAACACAATTTTCCACGTGAGGCAATCGTCGCACCTAACTCATCGAATTGCACAATTTTCCGTTAAATGAAAAAAAAATCCCGCTAATTACGCGCAAGGTTAAACAAACAGCAATAATATTTACGCGAGGGGATTCCGACGAAACTAATTAGCCTTAACGCCCCAGCTTAGTCCGACAAATTTGGGAGGCCGCTGCTTTTTTTAATGAGTTACACGCACGTCCCTGGCCAGGAAACTTTTGGTGATAGTCGAGTAGTTTTCCTCATCCGGCCGTGGTTGCACTTGAAAACTTATCTCGGAGATAAATTTTTGCTGTTCAGTGGTGGCGAGAAAACAGGTGGAAAGTTTTCAACCAGAATAATATTTGCACTTCATTGTAATATTTGTAAGCACAGTTTTGGAGGCCGTCCAAATATTTGAGTTAATCGAAAAACTTCCACCAAATAAATAATGGAAAATTGGGAGGGACTCCGCTATTTTGTTAAAAGCGTCCATATTTTGATGATTTTGTATGAAAATTAGGAATTACTCCAGGGAATATGAAGTGAGGGTTTGAGGTGTCATAAAAAAGAATCTTTATGAGAGTGAAAGTGAATCTCTAAGATTTTTTAAAAATCTTTCTACTAAAAATGCGAAGCGCAAAGTAATTCGTACCGAAACTAGCGCATCTCATTCTAAGTCTGCTCCAAAATCTTTTCAGCTTTTATTGGTCTTTAAGAAAATACAATGGTTTTCAGTTTGTACTTTGGTAAACATACAAGAAATTTAAACATGTACCGCTTTGCAGCGAACATGAACGAAAGTATGTCTGTAAATAAAAAAGCTGTTACAAGGGGATTTTATTACTTTCGCCCTAAATCTCGCGTGCGATTACGTACTATTTAAGGTACGCTAAATTGTCGTTTGAAAAAATTTATTCATTAGCGATAAAGTGTTCCCAGTTTTAATTGTGAGTGGAAAATTCCAAACAAGAACGTCGCTGCTAATTTTTTTCAATCGCATTGTTAAGAAACTCCCAAAGACAAAGTACAAGTTACCTGCAACCTGCAGACTTAATATAATGTTAAAATTGTTAGCCTATTCTGTTCATTGATGAATCGTACAATTTACGCGAGGGAACATTTTCGAATTGGAGTCGCGCTCTTCAAATAGAAACGAGGTTAAAGAAATCGAATTTAAAAAGTCATTGTGATAAACAGAGAACAAGTTTGTTAAAATTCGAGTAACACATTTATGCAGCGCAGAACATTTTGTATGCAACGCTTTGAGTAAATAAAATTGATTGGAATTTTTGCCAGTGCTATGGAGGTTCAATTTCAGTTTTCAGTTTTCTTCGCCCCTTGTAAATGTAAATGTAAATAGCCCGTTACAATTTACAAAGACATTTAGTTTTTACGAGTGTGTAAGAAATCTGACTCTTGAAGAGTCTTCAAGACCATTAACTTTTATGAGTAGGTACACGCCTTTCGAAGTCTTTAAGCGCTGTTAAGAAATCCATTGTGAGTTTTTAAGAGCCGATTTTGGTGAGTCTGCTATGGTCGCCTATAGTCTGAAAGGGTTTTCAGGAGACATAAATTGTTCCAAGAAGTCCAACATTTTATGAGCCATTAATAGGTTTAAGGACCTTTAGGGGTCAGATTCTTTGAGATTCAATTTTTAAACGTATGCAATAATTTCAATTTTCAAAGTTTTACCCAGTTTTCAAGGCCTTGATACTCTTATGCAACGTTGTTCTAAGGTGTTCAAGCCCTTGAGCTCCTCGAGCCGCCAATTCCTCAATGCTGTAAATCTCCAAGGTTTGCAAAGCTTCGACTCTCAAATGATTCCAGGTACTAAAGCCCACATGCCGTTTACCCTCCAATCTGCAAGGGAGTCTGGGGCTTGGATTCAAATGGTACAAAGCACAGAAGGTGCTGCAACACTTTAAGACCTCCAAAGATTCAATGCTTAAAACACCAATTCCCTCATCCCACATGCTTCAGAGCTTCCAAGGTTCCTAGGCACAATCCCTAAAAGGGCTAACGGTGGAATATAGCGTCAAGTCATCAAGCTCAAAGACGAAAGCTTCAGATCTGCTGGGCTTCAGGGTTAAACCTGTACGGCTTCAAACATGTTTAACAAAATTTGCTCTTCTCTCAATTTGGGAGAGAATTTAGCACCGAGGGGCCTAAGGAATGTGAAATATCCACCTAGGTATCCCGAACGAAACCGTCATGGTAGATTTTGGGGAAAGGTAAAGCTGGGGGAATTCCATAACCCCCCCCCCCCGACCGCCGTTGTTAAATTCTTCTTCAAAACATTTACCGCCTAGAACCCTCGTGTATTGAACATGTTTAAAAAATTTGCTGTAAACATTTTTGGGGAGAATTTAGCACGAAGGTGGTCTGGTCTGGGGGGTATCGAATACCCCCCAGGTATACAGAATTTGGTTACCCTTTCCCGAAAGGAACTGTCATGGTAGATATCGGGAAAAGGTAACGGATACCTAACTGAGATGGTAGATTTCTAGAAAAGTTAATGAAACCTTATGCGCTGGGGGGTGACTCTTCCCGAAAGTACCTAATTGCCATGGTAAATTTTGGGAAAAGGGAACGGATGTATAATGCGCGGGGGAGGAGGAGGGGGGTATTCCATACAAGTTTAAAAAAATTGCTCATCGCCTTAAACATTTCGATGGAGAATTTAGCACCGGGTGGTCTGGGGGGTATTGAATACTGGCGTGAAGTATTTGACCCTTTCCCGAAACTAATGGCCGTGGTAAATTTAGGGAAAAGATAACGGATGTCTAATGCGCTGGGAGTATTCCATACCCCCCAGACCTCCGGTGTTAAATTCCCCACCAAAACATTCTTAGAACTCTCATGTATGTTTAAAAAATTTGCTCATCGCTCAAAGCATTTCGGAGGATAATTTAGTACCGGGGCTCTGGGGGGTATGGAATACCCCCCAGGCATGAAGGATTGATGACCCTTCTCGGAAAGTAATTGCCATGGTAGATTTCGAGAAAAGGTAATGGATCCCCAATGCGCTGGGGGGTATTCCATACCCCCCAGACCCCCCGGTGTTAACTTTCCTTCCAAAACATTAACCCCCCCCCCGCACTTTCGTGTGTGGAACATGTTTAAAAAAATTTCTCATCGCCCAAAACATTTCGGGGGAGAATTTGGCACCGGGGGGTCTGGGGTGTATGGAATAACCCCAGGCATGAAGGATTTGATGGCCCTCTCCGGAAAGTAATTGCCATGGTAAATTTCGAGAAAAGGTAATGGATCCCTAATGCGCTGGGGGGTATTACATACCCCCCAGACCACCCGGTGTTAACTTCTCTTCCAAAACATTTACTCCCTAGAACGTTCGTGTATGGAACATGTTTAAAAAATTTACTCATCGCCCAAAACATTTCGCGAGAGTAATTGCCATGGTAGATTTCAAGAAAAGGTATATGGATCCTTAATGCGCTGAGAGGTATTCCATACCCCCAACTTTTCTTCTAAAACATTTATTTGTACTGTTAATAAATTACAAGTAGGTAACATTTATCAGTTTGAGCTTCTTAAATAAATGTTTAACGCATCTGCAAACTGAGCAGGCGGAATTCCGGGGCCTTTTTCCTTGAAACCACCTCAAATGACTCTAAAGTCAGCTTTTTTCAGCACCCATTATAAATAGATCAAAATCTTTGTAACGGACTAGCAGAGTCAGTTTTCAGTGTTAGACCTGTACCATCAAGATATGATTACATGAAAGACACTTGAGGGCTCTAAAGGCGTCAAGGACATCAAAAACAACAGAGACCTTAAAGAAACCACAGTTCCGAGTAGTCCTTAAGAGGTTCTAAAAGATTTTCAAAAACAATTAAGTTGCAGGATTCATGAAAGATCTTAGAAATTGTGTACACTTGAAACCCAAACTACCAAAGGTTCTGAAAGATCTAATTAACCTCTAAATTATGTTTTCAAGTAACCTATTGTGGCCTTGGGCACCCTCAAAGGCTCTTAGAACCCCTTAAAACTTCACAAAACCCCTTAAAATCTTCAAAAGCAGTTACAAAACGTTTCAAAGGGCTCAAAGCTCAAAAGCGGCCAACACTTAAGGTTGCAACAGTTCGTAGGCCCCCAAATGTTTAATGCTTTAATCCTTCAAGGCTTGAATGGTTTAATGATTTTAAGACTCCAAAAATCCCATAGATCAGTTGCACCATTTAATGCTCTTGGTGGCCTATGAAATTTTTAATGCTTTTAAATACCTGCGGTCATCACATTGCTTAATCAAATGTACATAAATCGATTATCGAAGAATATTCATTTATGATAATAATTAATGAATTAATCTCATTGGTCGACTTATTAATGAATTTTTGAGAAATATCAAATATCATGTAAATCGATTCTAATCGTTAATCAATCAATTAATAAAAATCTTAGAGTCAATCGACTTTCATTCTTTTCTACTTTGTTTAATTGTTACTTTCTACGAGGTCGCAATGCTCAGATCTTGACCCTCGCACGCAATTCTCATTGAAAAAGGCGTCTGAAAGTCGCAAACTTAAAACAATGAAAGGTGTAAAAGTTCTTGCGCGATAATCTTTCAAAACCGCAACGATATCTTCGTCCCAATTTCGAAAAAGTGGTACTGCGCGCCGTATGGAATTTACACGCCGCGCACTCATTTCAAATACGATAAGTTTTTCTTTGCGGAGCGCAAAGGTCATTAAGTTTTAAGGTCTAAGGCGCCCATTCACCGAGGCGAAAGTGCACAAAGTTCGCGCGCGCGACGTCACTCGGCCGCGTCTCGGGGCGGAAATTTTTGAAATATCGAGCGGAAATAAAAATGAGTTCACTTACCCTTTGAGAACGAAGGTTAGTTGATCTTTGTCGTCTTTCATCTCGCCACTAAAAAGGACCATCGATGTAATCGTAAACGCTTTATCTGACATTCAATTTCTCTCATTATCGGCAAGTGCTCGTAATAACATTTACTTTTTTTAAATTATAAATCAACACGTATACAGAGTGGGGAATGATAACGTTGTCGATTCGGGTTATCAGCAACACGTCAGACTGAGATCTCGCTTTTTATTCGTACGACAATGTAATTGTTCGGTTTAATGAGTTTGCGTCTCGAGACAAACAATGGAACAAATACACTGAGACTTCGACACGCGACCCACCGTTTATTATATAACGATGATCAGCTGATATGTGCACTTAATAAACGTCACTCCATTTAACTACCGTTCTGTATCGATCACAAGGTAACGCAAATAATTATTTTTTTTATAAGATACAGTTAAACAATCCGATCGGTGCGGTAGTTCGATAATTCCGTTAAGGTGTATAAAAAAGAAAATTTAAATTTCCCGCGCAAAATTAATTTATACCTTGCACTCAATACGAAGACCCTTAAGGCTTCAAATTGTTTCATTTTTAATTGTATTATTTTAGAATGTCCAAAGCTTTCTAAAGTAACCTTTTGAATGCAACACTCTGTATATGTATTTGTTTATGTCTGACGAAATACTTTTTTCCTAAATAGTCCAATTAAAGCAAATATCGTTATCTATTGTTAATTAAAGAAGTCTAAATACTAAACAAATTATTGGCAATAGTATTTAATAGGCTAAGAGCTTTTAAGGGCTCTTTAAACACTCATATATGAATAGTCTTCGAAACCTTTGGAGACCCTTGAAGATTTTAAATATGCAGCCTTTAATGTTTCCGAAGGCTCTTAGCAGTTCTAGATCAGCCCTTCATGAAAACCGCCTAAGAGTTACACAAGCTGATCGAATCTTAGGGACAGGTAAGAATTTCAAGAACCATTCAGGACCCTTTGATAACTTTTTAAAGACTTCTAAAGGTCTTCAAGGCCACCACAAGCTCATGGGGGATATTAACAACGAGCTTAGCAGAGGTTTTTGGAAGCACTTAGGAGATTTGGGTCTCTGGAGTTCTAAGACCTTAAGAACTTGCATCCTTGAAGCTTTGGAGTCTTGAAGTTGGAGAACTAGTCAAAACTTTCGAGAACCGGCTAGCCCGCGCAGTTCAGTTGGATCTGGACTGCGGTACTACGGATCCCTGGTTCGAATCCGGATTCGGGCAAGGATTTTCTGACTTGAACGCAAAAAGTCTGACTTGTACTCCACAAATTCAGACTTATATGAAAATAGTATGCTAAGCACATGAGATTGCGTAAAAATTTGACTTTAGGTCCGAGTCAGAGAGGAAAATTTTGAGTGTAGATCGACTACGTTTCGGTGATTTTGACTTGAGATCAAAAATTCCGATTTATAAACAAAAAATTCTGACTTGCACAATAATACTCTGAATTATACGCTAAATATGTGATACTGAAATTAAGTAAAGGTTTTACACTTTAAGTCTGACTTTGGACAGAAGATTCTCAGTGTAAGTCTATTACTGTATCTCGGATTTTCTGACTTGAACGCAAAAAGTCTGACTTGTACTGCACAAATTCAGACCGATATGAAAATAGTATGCTAAGAATATGAGAATGTGTAAAGATTTGAGTTTAGGTCCGAGGCAGAGAGCAAAATCTTGAGTGTAGATTGACTATGTTTCGGTGATTTTGACTTGAGATTAAAAAATCCGACTTATAAACCAAAAATTCAGACTTTCTGACTTGCACAATAATACTCTGAATTATACGCTAAATATGTGATACTGAAATTAAGTAAAGGTTTTACACTTTAAGTCTGACTTTGGACAGAAGATTCTCAGTGTAAGTCTATTACTGTATCTCGGATTTTCTGACTTGAACGCAAAAAGTCTGACTTGTACTGCACAAATTCAGACCGATATGAAAATAGTATGCTAAGAATATGAGAATGTGTAAAGATTTGAGTTTAGGTCCGAGGCAGAGAGCAAAATCTTGAGTGTAGATTGACTATGTTTCGGTGATTTTGACTTGAGATTAAAAAATCCGACTTATAAACCAAAAATTCAGACTTAAACAATAATTCTCTCAATTATACGCTAAATATGTGATGCTGAAGTAAAGTAAAGGTTTTAGAGTTTAAGTCTGACTTTGGACAGAAGATTCTCAGTGTAAGTCTACTAATCTACTACTGTATCTTGGATTTTCTGACTTGAACGCAAAAAATCTGACATACCCCACAAATTCAGACTTGTATGGAAATAGTACACTAAGAATATGAGAATGCGTAAAGATTTGAGTTTAAGTCCGAGTCAAAGAGGAAAATGTTGAGTGTATATCGACTATATTTCGGTGATTTTGACTTGAGATCAAAAAATCCGACTTATAAACCAAAAATTCAGACTTAAACAATAATGCTCTCAATTATACGCTAAATATGTGCTGCTGAAGTAAAGTAAAGGTTTAGAGTTTAAGTCTGACTTTGGACAGAAGATTCTCAGTGTAAGTCTACTACTGTAGTTCGGATTTTCTGACTTGAACTCAAAAAGTCTGACTTACACTCCACAAATTCAGACTTATATGAGAATAGTATGCTAAGAATATGAGAATGCGTAAAGATTTGAGTTTAGGTCCGAGTACGGGAGGAAAATTTTGAGTGTAAATCGACTATGTTTCGGAGATTTTGACTTGAGGTTAAAAATTCCGACTTATAAACTAAAAATTCAGAATTAAACAATAATACTCTGAATGATACGCTAAATATGTGATGCTGAAGTAAAGTAAAGGTTTTAGAGTTTAAGTCTGACTTTGGACAGAAGATTCTCAGTGTAAGTCTATTACTGTATCTCGGATTTTCTGACTTGAACGCAAAAAGTCTGACTTGTACTCCACAAATTCAGACTGATATGGAAATAGTATGCTAAGAATATGAGAATGCGTAAAGATTTGAGTTTAGGTCCGAGTCAAATAGGAAAATGTTGAGTGTAGATCGACTATATTTCGGTGATTTTGACTTGAGATAAAAAATTCCGACTTATAAACCAATAATTCAGACTTAAACAATAATACTCTGAATTATACGCTAAATATGTGCTGCTGAAGTAAAGTAAAGGTTTTAGAGTTTAAGTCTGACTTTGGACAGAAGATTCTCAGTGTAAGTCTACTAATCTACTACTGTATCTTGGATTTTCTGACTTGAACGCAAAAAATCTGACATACCCCACAAATTCAGACTTGTATGGAAATAGTACACTAAGAATATGAGAATGCGTAAAGATTTGAGTTTAAGTCCGAGTCAAAGAGGAAAATGTTGAGTGTTTATCGACTATATTTCGGTGATTTTGACTTGAGATCAAAAAATCCGACTTATAAACCAAAAATTCAGACTTAAACAATAATGCTCTCAATTATACGCTAAATATGTGCTGCTGAAGTAAAGTAAAGGTTTAGAGTTTAAGTCTGACTTTGGACAGAAGATTCTCAGTGTAAGTCTACTACTGTAGTTCGGATTTTCTGACTTGAACTCAAAAAGTCTGACTTACACTCCACAAATTCAGACTTATATGAGAATAGTATGCTAAGAATATGAGAATGCGTAAAGATTTGAGTTTAGGTCCGAGTACGGGAGGAAAATTTTGAGTGTAAATCGACTATGTTTCGGAGATTTTGACTTGAGGTTAAAAATTCCGACTTATAAACTAAAAATTCAGAATTAAACAATAATACTCTGAATGATACGCTAAATATGTGATGCTGAAGTAAAGTAAAGGTTTTAGAGTTTAAGTCTGACTTTGGACAGAAGATTCTCAGTGTAAGTCTACTACTGTAGTTCGGATTTTCTGACTTGAACTCAAAAAGTCTGACTTACACTCCACAAATTCAGACTTATATGAGAATAGTATGCTAAGAATATGAGAATGCGTAAAGATTTAAATTTAGATCCGAGTCAGAGAGGAAAATTTGTAGTGTAGATCGACTACGTTTCGGTGATTTTGACTTGATTATACACTAAATATACGATGCTGAAATAAAGTAAAGGTCTTGTTTTAAGTCTGATTTTGGATAGAAGATTCCCAGTGTGAGTCTACTACTATACTTCGAATATTCGGACTTGAACTCAAAAATTCTGATGTATGCTCCAAAAATTCAGACATAGGTACGAAAATCTATGCTATGTCGAGTATGAGTAAAGATTTTGAGTTTAGGTCGGACTATGACGCTGAATGAAGTAATTGTTATTGGACTTAGGTCTAACTTTTAATGGAAAATTCCCAGTGTAGGTCTACTGCTGATATTCTGACTTGAAGTCAAAAATTCAGACATGCAAAATATTATTCTAAGAACATGAGCGCAAGAATTCCGACTTACACTTCAAAACTTCAGACTTAAACTAGAATACTACGAATCACTAAAATAAAGGTTTTGCGTTTAGGTCTGATTTTGGATCTGTAGGTTTACTACTATTTCTCGGATATCCTGATTTGAATTCAAACATTCTGACTTGTGCTTCATAAATTCAGACTTACACGAAAGTACTATGCTAAGGATCGTAAACGCTCTCGTGCCTTAACGCGCATTCGCTCTCGGCATAGTTACTCGCGCTTCGAAGCCAGTCAATTCGCGCCCTGAGACTAGGCCCCACAATTTTCGAATATTCCACCACTTTAATCTTTTAAAACTACGCCCATCAATTCCCAACCAATGAAATCCCTAGAAACCCAAATTTCACATAGACTCTTAAAAGTACAAATTACACAGTACTTCGATATCGAACGGATCTAGCGTTAGCAACATAGTCTAGTACGGATGTAGCATCAGCAAGATCGACTAGTTAATTTAGTTCGGTCTACGACTTTCTGGCGCTGCCAACTTTCATACGCAGTTATGTCATCGGGTTTACCAAGAAAAGGTAAACAACTTATTTCTAATCTTATTACTTATTATGAACGAGAAAAAGATAGTTCACTTTTACCAGTCGCAACAGTATGCTGATGAGATGGCATTAGAAAATGGACATGCGGTACTACGGTTGCCTCCCTACCATTACGTTTTCAATACCATCAAAAATATATGGGGAATTTGAAAACGGCACTATAACCGACACGTTGGCGAGAAAGGTTATGGCAGAGAAAAGTGTTTAGATACGTGGCAATATGCCATTGACGCAGTTACACCTGCTATGTGGAAACGCACTGTAGAGCATACCAACAAAATTATTTTAGATTGGTGGCACAGAGAAATGAAGTTTCACAATTTGAAGTGTTCTATTTTGCTTTTTTTGTCTTTCTTAATATAATTCGTCGAGTCTTTGTGTGAGCTATGCTAGGGTTTTTGTCCCGAAGAAGGTTTTCCTCGCGTGTGCGTAATACAAAATTATTCCCATAGTGCATAAAAAAAACCGCCAGTTTTATCCGAAAGTGCCGCGAAACGTTTGTCGTCTTGAGACGAAAGTAACGGTGGCTTCGTTCGTGAGTATGGGGCAAGTCTCGAATTCTTGCTAAGTACTGCGGGTGTTGTTATTACGAAAAAAACGGTTAAAGTGATTTTTTTCCTCTTGTTAGTAAAAGATCGCGACATAGAAAACTTGTTACAAATAACTACTAAAACAATTTTTAAGTCCTTGATGTAACGGGTATCCTACCCACAATGCAGCATTGTCTGTATAGCTGCCTACATACGTATTCTGTTCCATTGTTTACAAGATGCTATGTAAACATACTCAATGATGACGTCATAATATACCGATGACATGAGCGCAAACTACGCAACGTCCTACTTATATATCTAAATTAAGCGAAGGTCTTACGCTTACAATAAGAATTCTATTAGCAATAGGAACGATCCAGTCACTGACATTATGCTAGTCTCAGCTATTGAAAAGGCCTGGTATGGACTAATTGCATTCTGGTAAGTCACATTGTCAGATTCTGCTGAATAAGGTTGCCGAAGTGGTGGAGGCCGGTCCAACAACGGAAGATCTCCGTCAGGGACTTCTGTTCCACCATCCATTCTACTACGCAAGATTGCAGAGTTGCTACCTGGGAGGGGTTGACGTTAATAATTGAATCGCCCTCTAAACGACTCACCCGACAACGTACAAAACAGTGTGCTTATCGTATGACTGAGGGGCCGACGCTATTTTGTGGATAGATAAAGATCACGGGATAGCAAAAAAAGGGAAGGGGGTAATGGGATTGTTTTCAAAATGGTGAAGAATGCAATTTAGTAGTATGAGAAGAGGTTATCAGTCCGTCCGTCTGTGCGAATAGTAGACCCTTCATGCTGCTCATACAGTCAAATATATTGCTATTTTGAGACAGTTGCCCAAACAATTCGTACAGAAAACACACCTTTTATTACTAAACCACGTGTGTTTCCTTAAATAAATATAATACTTTGACGTAATGTTAACCAAACTTTGATTACGTCAAGCTTTAAATGTTAATATTAAATATTACGTACTATTTTTTTTACAGATAATGCTACACAATGCACAATTCAAGCTAAACTATGGAGATAAAGATAGGTTTAGGAGGCTTCTCTAAGAGACTTTTGGAAACCCTTAACTGCACTTACAGCATCAGAGAGCTCGTAAAGGTTTCAAAGGCTTCAATTAATTGAAGCCTTTAAGTGCTCTTGAACCCTTTGGATCTTTGCGTAGTAGACCTCGGCATTTATTTACCGCGTAGTTAATAACTTTTGCCTAGAAAATTGAGATGCGGCTGCCGAGGAAGCCTAGGAAATCGAAATTTAAAAATAAATCAGTAAGGCATGGAGAGCAGGTATCTCATGGGGAAGTCAAGCAAGTAGAATAAGTCTAGGAAGTTCAACAGTTCGAAAAAGTAGAAGAAACCGAAGCAGGCAAAGTGAAATTGAAACCGGAAACTGGAAGTAGAAGCGAAAACGTAAAAGCGAAACCAAAGATTGGTATTTGGTAACCTGGAAATGGAAACCTTAGCATGAAGAAAAGGCATGAAGAAATTGAGAACCGGAAACCGGAAACGAGAAACCGCAACGTGGAAAACTGGAAGCGGGGAAGGCTTAATTAGCCTTTAAAAGTGTCATAGGTTTTTTGTAGACCATTCTAAATTTCACTATCTTATTGAACCTTTTGTAGCATTAAAAAAACCCTCTAGTGTTCTAGAAGAGTTTTTCATGAACCCAGAAGATTCTAGCAGCACTCAACAAGCTAAAGGACCTAGGTAGAGCATTTCAGCTGCGCCGCAGGTGCCATAGGAGGGTATTAGCTTTTAAAAATTTTATGGCGCATTGCGCAGTCCAAAAGGCATCCGTCGGAACAGGTAACAAGTTTCGCCCGAAGTTGTAAACATGGTAAGTGCACGTGAATTTTGAGTTAGTGGCGCCAGTACCCCGATTGTAGGTCGATTGTTGACAACATCTTAACCTTGACAGAGATGAGTAAGGTACGATCCAAAAGGTCTCCAGCATTCTCTTCTCGAACAAAATCCCAAAACGTCAAAATTGTGAAAGTGCAGTTCACATTAACAGCAAAATAAGACTCAGGTCGCCGTTAAAGCATCGTAAGGTCAAAGTCGTTATAATTTGCTGACTAATTTCAGCGACCATTAAATTATTCCAAAAAATGCGGCGATTTAACAAATTGAAGTTATTGTAGGAACAATAATCTTGCCATGACATTTTTGAGCTATTAATACTTTTCCATTCGGTCGTCTCTTTTCATACTCTTCTCACCGTTTTCTGGTAATCCCCATTTGCTGTTTTCGCACTCCCTCTACAGCTATTCTCTCCGTTTCTTCTCATTTACTAACGTCCTATGTTCAAATACCCCCCTCCCCCCAATTCCTCTGCTCCCTATTTTGCCCTTCTGTTGATCCACCTTCTCCATCCCATGACGTTTAATTCGCCTTATTTTTCCCCTAAGGTTTATTTGTTCTTTTTTTATTGCTGTTACTCCTCTCCTCCTCTCCTCTGTTATTCCTATTCTCTTCTTCTGTTTTTTGCTTCTCTTCTATTCTTACTCTACAGGTCCGACGTATTTACAATTTAGACAAAGCGAACTGATGAATCATTAAATTCGCCATTGTGAAGAGATACAAGAAGAAGAACTCGCCCCTCTGTCCCCTCTCCCCTGATGTAGTCGTGTGGAGCGCCTACGAGTCCATGAGTCACGCTCTTCTACGAAAAGATCGGCGTCGACCCGAAAGTAATCGATGGATGGCGATGGCTCCGCAGCTCAAAGGTTTGCATGAAGATCCAAGGACGATTCAAGCTACATTCCTGACTAAACTTCAGCTTAAGTAACTGTTTGATTTGTGCTTATTTAAATTCTTACGCCATCTATGCATTTCCTTTGTCATTCAGTAGTTTAGATGTAAGTTGTTCCTGTAGTAAATTTGTTATAGGTGTCTTATTACAATAGGTCTTTGTTTTGCCGATGGAGGTCGCGCAAAGGTTTTGTTTTAATTTTTTTTTGGCGCCCGAACTTCTTTGTGCATTCAACCGTTACTTGTAGGAAGACGTACACGCCGGCCGACATAATTGTTTTGTACCAGAAACACAAACTATTGTCTCAGGGGTCCAAAACGCGCATAATTTGAGATTACTGTCTCCATAATGCAATTTAATTGTCACTATGGAAAAAGAATTTGACGGCTATGAAATCGCATGCTCTACAATAATGTTTTGTGGGTGTAACACAAAGTACTATTTTAAGGGTCTCCATACTTTTATAAGCAAAAACTTGCACTATAATTTTTTGCGCCTGGAACACAAACGTATCTTAAGGGTCCAAAACGGCGCATATTTTGTATTACTGTCTCCGTAAGGACAATGTTATGGTCATTGTTTGTAGAATTGCAGCTTTTTATATAACTTTTTACGCTTAAAAGACGAACTACTATTTCAAAAGTCAAAAACGGCGCATAATTTGGGATTAGTGTCTCCATAAGAATAATTCTATACCCAAAATCGCAATTTTTGCTATATTCTTCTGCACCTGGAGCACAAACTATCATTTTTTGAAGGACACAAAGCGGCGCATAATTTGAGATTAGTGCCGTCATCGGAACAATTTCATAACGAAAATTTCAAGTTTTGCTATAATTGTTTGCGCCCGGAACACAATCTTACCTTCAGGTTCCAAAACGGCGCATGTTTTGTATTACTGTCTCCATAAGGTCAATGTTATGGTCATTATTTGTAGAATTGAAACTTTTCATATAACTTTTTGCGCTTAAAAGACGAACTACTAATTCAAAAGTCAAAAACGGAGCATAATTTGAGATTAGTGTCTCCATTCATGGCTCAGTGGTTAGAGCATTGGGTTATGAATCCGAAGGTCGGGTGTTCGAACCTGGGTTGAGGTGAATTTTTCATCTGTGGCGGAGATGGAAATTACCTTAGACCAGCTCCGAGCATTCTACCGGCTACTCCGAATTAGGTTTTCCTGCAGTTTTCCTAATTCGTAAGGTAAATACCGGAGTAGTATAGACCAACTTAAGACCTTCTGCAGAGGCACCTCTAAATAGCATTATGCGGGTCACTCTGTAATTGGGCGCATGCCTGTTGAGGGCCCAAAACAAGAGAGGGATAATAATAATAATAATAATAACAGTAGCTTTATACCCAAAATCGCAATTTTTGCTATATTCTTTTGCACCTGTAGCACAAACCATTATTTTTTGAAGGGCACAAAGCGGCGCATAATTTCAGATTAGTACCTTCATCGCAATAATTTTATAGCGAAAGTTTCAACTTTTACTATAATTTTGTGCGCCCAGAATAAAAACTTATCTTAAGGGACCAAAAAGGCGCATATTTTGTATTATTAGTCTCCGTAAGGACAATGTTATGATCATTGTTTGTAAAATTGCAACTTTTCATATAATTTTTTGCGCTTAAAAGACGAACTACTATTTCAAAAGTGAAAAATGGCGCATAATTTGTGATTAGTGTCTACATAAAATAATTTTATCCCCAAAATCGCAATTTTTGCTATATTCTTTTGCACCTGGAGCACAAACTCTTATTTTTTGAAGGGCACAAAGCTGCGCATAATTTGAGATTGGTGTCTTCATCGGAACAATTTTATAACGAAAATTTCAACTTTTACTATAATTTTTTGCGCCCGGAACACAATCTTACCTTCAGGTTCCAAAACGGCGCATATTTTGTATTACTGTCTCCATAAGGGCAATGTTATATGTTTCATATAACTTTTTGCGCTTAAAAGACGAACTACTACAAAAGTCAAAAACGGCGCATAATTTGAGATTAGTCTCTCCATAAGAATAATTCTATACCCAAAATCGCAATTTTTGGTCTATTTTGTTTCTACAAACAATGACCATAACATTGTCCTTATGGAGACAGTAATACAAATTATGCGCCGTTTTGAACCCTTAAGATAAGTTTGTTTCACGGGCGCAAAAAATTATAGTAAAAGTTAAAATTTTCGTTATAAAATTGTTCCGATGAATTAGACACTAATCTCAAATTATGCGCCGTTTTGTTCCCTTAAAAAAATAATAGTTTGTGCTCCAGGTGCAAAGAATACAGCAAAAATTACGATTTTGGGTATAAAATTATCCTTATGGAGACACTAATCTCAACTTATGCGCCGTTTTTTACTTTTAAAGTAGTAGTTCGTCTTTTAAGCGCAAAATGTTATATGAAAAGTTGCAATTCAACAAGCAATGACCATAACATTGTCCTTATGGAGACAGTAATACAAAATATGCGCCGTTTTGGATCCTTAAGATTAGTTCGTGTTCCGGGCGCAAAAAATTATAGTAAACGTTGACTATTTCGTTATAAAATTGTTCCGATGAAGACACTATTCTCAAATTATGCGCCGCCTTGTGCCCTTCAAAAAATTATAGTTTGTGCTCCAGGTGCAAAAGAATATAGCAAACACTAGTATTTTGGGTATAAAATTATTCTTATGCAGACACTATCAAATTATGCGCCGTGTTTGACTTTTGAAATAGTAGTTCGTCGTTTAAGTGCAAAAAGTTATATGAAAAGTTGCAAAACTCAGAAACGGCGCATAATTTAAGATTAGTGTCTCCATAAGAATAATTTTATACCCAAAATCGCAATTCTTGCTATATTTTTTGCACCAGGAGCACAAACTATTATTTTTTGAAGGGCACAAAGCGGCGCATAGTTTGAGATTAGTGTCTTCATCGAAACAATTTTATAATGAAAATATCAACTTTTACTATAATTTTTTGCGCCAGGAACACAAACTTATCTTAAGGGTCCAAAAGGGCGCATATTTTGTATTAATTTGGCAATGTTATAGTTATTGATTGTAGAATTGAAGCTTTTCATATAACTTTTTACTCTTAAAAGACGAACTAATAATAAGGTCTTTATTTATTTATTTATTTCTATTTCAAAAGTCAAAAACGGCGCATAATTTGAGATTAGTGTCTCCATAAGAATCAGTTTATACCAAAAATCGCAATTTTTGCTATATTCTTTTGCGCCTGGAACACAAACTTGTTTTAATGGTCCAAAGCAGCGCATAATTTGTATTTCTGTCGCCATAAGGGAAACTTGATGATCATTGATTGTAGAATTGCAACTTTTGCTATAATTTGTTCGGCCTGGAAGACAAACTATTATTTCAATGGTCCAAAATGGCGCATGGCTCTCATGGCATTTTTCATAAGAACAATGTTATTATCATTGTTTGTGAAATCTCAATTTTTTCTATAGTTTTTTGGGCCTGGAGCACAAACCGTGGGTTTTTCAAGGGCACAATGCCGCGCATAATTCAGGATTAGGTCTCTATAAGAACAATTTTATAGGCTTTGTTTCTAAAATTGCAACATTTACTATAATTTCTTTGCGCCGAGAACACAAACTATTATTTAAAGGACTAAAAACGGCGCATAATTTGGGCTCAGATAAAGATAAAAAAATCGAAACTTTTACTAAAATTGTTTGCGCCTGGAACACAAACTATTATTTCAAGGGTCAAAAACGGCGCATACTTTGGGCTTAGTGTCTCCATAAGATTAACTTTCCGACCTTTTCCAACCAATCACTCAAATTCTTCAGAAGGAGATCCTTGGAATTCTTGCTTTTTCCAGATTTTTCACGTTTTGCAAAAATCATAATACATAATTAATCATGGCATTTTTATAAATCTGTACCCGTTTTGTGTATTGTACTCCGCTAATCACGCAATTCCCAATTACTGTGCAAAAAAACAAAGGAATTAATTACAAACATTTTGGCTAATGACTGGCGCGTGTTCAATTAGCTCTCATTATTTTGCACTTGACACGCAAGTTCAAGAATGTAGGCAAAAACGTTTAGATTTAAGAGATCAAAGGCGCCCGTGGTGCCGACTGCAAACATTGCACGCGAGCTACTAGAACGAGGCACCCAAGAAAGCGACATCTATATCGCCAGCGAGTGAGTTACAGTTTCCTCTTCGACTAACAGAAAGAGAAAAAACTCACCTCTTTGCCAGTCGTGGAAAAATCTCGGCACAATCGACACCTGTCACCGGCTCATTTTTAGATTGAAAGAGCACATTCGAAACTGGGCCGGACGATAAACTTGGCATTCATCGATCGTTCTACATTTGTAGTACAGCGAATCCCGGGTTCGCGACCTTTTCGCGATTGCCATTACTTGGGTTTCGGCCAGTTCTTATAAATAACTTATGCATGCGGCTGCAAATGGCTATTTTAAGCTTGCCGAGATATCGCGGATATTAAAATAAATTGATTATTCTCTAGAAATTAAGAGTCTGCGCCTATCGAAAACCGGACGAAAGCGTGGAGAATATGCAAAGTACACTGTCAATATAAAACTGTAACCCCCTCCGTTGCTCTTCTTCTGTTCTTTATTTCCACCGAGTCCTTCAAATCCATTACGTTTTTCTTGGATTGATTTTTTTCTGTGTTTCTCTCTCTTTTGCTGCCCTGCCGCCTTCCCAGCCTTTTCCTCCATTTTGATACACTCCTCCACCCGTTCCTCCGTTCTTCCTCTGTCCCTCCTTTGAATTCTGGCGCACTTCCTGTGCTTCTACTTCTTCTCATTTCTGCTTCGCTCCTTGACCACTTGACTTTGACTTGACTTTGCGCTTCTTCTGCTGTCTGCTACTTTGCTCTCTCGTTCATCTTCTCCTTCACTGCTGACCTTATGCTTATTCTCACTCAGTTCTTCCTCTGTTCTTCACTTCTACCTTGCTTACCCGTCCCCCCTTGAGCTCGCTTCCTTGTCTCGTTTCGAATTTTTCCTTTGCCTTCCATCCATTCTTCTTCGGTCCTTCCTATTTTTTCTCCTTTTATTATTTTTGTTCTATACTCTCCTATGTCCCTCCCTCACCAACCCTTGCCGTCTTTGCCTAGTCTACTCTCCCTACTATTCTTCTGCTCCACTCGTTTGCGATACTGCGCTGCACTGCTTTTGTATGATTTGCTTTGCAATTCTTTTTCTGCTAGTTTGTTCTTTGCTTATTCGTTACCTTTGACCTTCCTTTACTTTGCTCTGTCGATCTCCGGGATCCGTTCGGCCTTTTCAGTTACTTAGCCTTTTCTCTCCTTTGCTCCCAAGTTTCACACACTCTTTCTCACTTCCTCTGCTTTTGAAACCTTTGTGCCTCTTTATTTTCCTTCTCTGTTCGCTTGCTAATTCTCCGCTCCTTAGTCACGCTGTTCATGTCCTTCCCTACTATTACTTTTGCCCCATTTTTGATCAGGTTCGTTTCATCCTTTTCACATTTGTTCCATCTCTGTCTTCTCTCCCTTTCGTTACTAACTTTTTTTTTCTACATTTCCTTCTTCTCCCGTTGTTCCTCTGCTTCACTTTTCCCTTGCTCCTTTGGTTTCTTTCTCTTTTAGTCTGTTCTTTCACCACTGTACCTCTGCTACCGCAACTGTTTTTTTATGTTCTCCTCGATCCTTTGATCTTGTCGCCCAATTTGTCCCGCCCTCTCTTTCCCATCCTCGTTTCTTTTTCTTTATTTTTTATTCTCATTTTCTCTCCTTGCACTTCTTTTGCTTTAAAATTGCTTTATTTTCACTGCTCCCTTGCTACTACATGCCTTACCCCTTCTTCTCCTTTTTCCTTACTTTTTGATGCCTTTCTTGTTTCTATTTGTTCTTCTCTGTCCTGATTTTTTTTCGCCTTCTGATTTTCTTTGTACTCTTTTATTTCTTTTCTGCTCTTATTTTATGCTTACTCTCCTTCTGCGTCCCCTTCCGTGTCCTTCCTCAAGCTTTCCCTGCAAATTACGTCATTTCCCTGCACTTCTTTTGCTTTTCTTTGCCTATTATTCGGTTTCCTGATGTGATTTCTTCTTGTTTCTCGTTCTTTTGCTACTCTACCACCTTCTCAGCCTATCCCCCGGTTTTCTATAGGCTTGACTTATGCCATTCCCTTTCTCGCTTTTCGATTATTTTTTCTCCTGTGGTACTTCTTCGGTCTTCCCCTAGCCTTCCTCACTTTTCCTTTAAGGTTTATTCACGCTTCTTTCAAGCCCTTTCCACGTCCCCTCCTGCACTTGTTCACTCTTCCTTCGAGTTTCCTTCAAGTCTCCCTCTCGCTTCCCTCTGCTCTTTCTTCGCGCCTTCTTTACGCCTACTTTGATCCTGCTTCACATATCCTTCCACATTCCTTCAAACTTCCTTCCACTCTTTTTCGATCAACTTCCTCTTCACACCTCTCTCAAAATTTCTTCACGCCCCCTTCGAACATTTCTCTTAGCTCCTTTGAATTTGCTTTGCGCTATCTCCTCCCTTGCACTGATCCTTCTTCGCACTGTTTTGTTTGACTCAGATTATTTACCAAACTTTTCAGGACTCCTTCTTTAGTACTTCTTGCGAAATTTCTTCACGCTTTCAAATTTCTTTATAGCTTTCTTCTTTCCTCCTTCGAGCTGTTTTTCGCTATTCCTTCTTCACACCTAAATCGGCCCTTCAGCACACTACCTTGGACTTTCGAGCCTCATTAGTGCATCCTTCAAGTTTTCTTGAAGCCCTATTCGCGTCCTTTTTTAGTCACAACTTTCCGTGTTTTCTCACTCTTCCTTGGAGATTTTTTCATGCTTCCTTCGAGCCTTCCTCTATGCTTCATTCAAGAATTCTTTTCATCTTCTTCGATCTTTTATCGCCCTGAAGCATCTTCTCGCCTCTTTCGACCTTCCTTCATCACCTCTCGATCTTTCGAGTCTTCGTCACACCTCCTTCGATCTTCCTTATTCTATAGTTTCCCACGTCTCTTTTGGGATTCTGTCGAGTCTTTTCCTCTTCACCCTCCAACGATTGTTCTTCCTCCAAGCCTTTTTAACACCTACTTCTAGTCTACTTCTTTCGCGCCTCTCCCAAAAGTTGTTTGAGCGTTCTTCATGCCTCCGAGTTTCCTTGGCGCCTATTTTTGTGTCTCGTCTCTAGTCGCTTGCGCAACTTCGGCTTCTCTGCACCTCCTTTTTAACTTTTCTACCCCTATCGCCTGCTGTTCATGTCCTTCCCCAGTTTGCCCCATTTTTGACCATGTTCGTTTCATCTTTTTGTTCCATTTCTTTTCCTTCGCTCCTGATTTTCTCGTCATCCGTTCTTCTCACTTCCTTTCCTTTGTTCTTTTTCTGCATATTCCTTTTTTTCACGTTGTTCTTCTGATTTCCTTCCCCCTTGGTCCTTCGGTCACTTTCTGCTTTTAATCTGCTTTTCTTTTTCAATTCCCGTGTCCCTACTTTGACCCTTTCCGCCTCCATTCATTGATGTTCTACTTCCTCTTTTCCTCAATTCTCAATTCGACTTTCCTCTCTTTTTATATTGGTTTTCTAGTATCCTTGCCTCTGCTTTTTTTTATCATCTTCCCTCCCCTGTTCGTTTGTCGCTCTTCTTTTCCTTGAACACTAATTAATTTGTACTGCTTCCTTGCGTCCCCGTGCCTTTACTTTTCTTCTGCTTCTCTCCTCGCCTTTTGACTCCTCCCTTGGTTCCTTTTTTCCATTCTTTTTCCGTCTATCCTGATTTTTTTGCATTTTTGTTTTTCTTTTATTTTTTTCGCACTCCTCTTCTTTTCACTTCTTTTATGCTCTTATTTTGATTTTTTTGTACTTTCTATTTCTTCTCCTCTTCTGCTTCTCCAAGGTTTCCTTGCGACTTTAGATTTTGCTTATTTCCTCCTCCGATTATCTCCGTTTTTTCTCTGCTTCTCATCTAATAATTGTTTTGGGGTTATGTGTTTCGGTCCCTCTCGTTATCTTCCCTTCCTCTTTCTTCCTTCAATTGTTCGCCTGCGATATTTATTCTTTCCCTCCATCCACCACATCTCGGAAACAGTCAGCTGTTTTTTGCTTGCTACCCCTCCACTGCAATTATTCTGTTCCTCCACTAAGCTTCTATTTTTCCCAGCCCCCTTTAATAGACTATTTTCTACTCATCTCAGCACTCTATTTTGTCTCTTTCTGTGCTGTGCGCTTCCCTCTCCTCCTCTACTGTTCACATGGCGCTTTTCCTGTACTCTTTGGAGCTCCTTAGCCCTCTGGTTGATGTTTTGCTATGTTTTCATTTCACCGATTATACTTGTTCTGCCCTTCAGGTACCCCCCCTCTGATTTTCGTTTGCCGTTTCCGCTGCTTTCTCTTATGCTTTCCTCTACCACTCCACAGAAAATGTTCTGCTCTTTCTGCTAATTTGTTCTTTTACTTGTCTGCCCTCTTACACTGCTTTTCAGTTTCTCTTCTGATTTTCTCAGTTTCTCTTCCGTTTTCTTCCTTCTCTCTCTTTCGCTCTTGGATTGCCTTATTGTTCTGCTGTTCGTGTCTCGTTTCGCTTCTGCTCCTGCAGAGGTAGATGAGGAAGAACGGAAAGAGGACAGCTTTCCACGGTATTAGAGTGAAGCGCTCCATGATTCGTTTATTATACAATTGCCCTTAATAATAATTTAAAATAAATAATACAAAAACTATACTAAGACTTGGGAAAGGATCACTTGTCAATAATAAAGAATTGTGAAATAAGGTTCAAAAATCCAAAAATCACAATTAAAACGTAAACCGTTAGCTTAACGAACGTGAGCTTCTCTTTCTTCATCAGTGATGCTATCTTCATCAGACTCGGGAGGAAGAATATGTAGACCAAGCCGCTCAACGCGCCGGTGTACCTGTAAGTCGGTCTTGGACAACCACTTCGGTGTGCAGTGCGATGACTTACCGTATCAGCGTGCCAATTTTGGGTAGGAAACAGGCGAACAGGATGCAAATGGTCACAATGACAATATTCACCGCGACGACCTTCCGGTAGGAGAACTCGTAGGCGAGGTTGTTCGTGTACAAGTTAATGTTCTTGAAGACATCCGTTCTGAGCATGAAGGAGATTAAGGGAAACACGGTGAACAGTTGGAAGAGCAGGAGTAGACGTGCCACAATCGTCATGGTGTCGAACTTCTCGAAGTTGTTAAGGATGTTCTGCAAGGAAACGGGAGATTATCCGAGAGGACGCCGGCGGTTACTCACGTCTTCAATGCAATCCTTCGCCAGCGGGAAGCAGATGTAGAAGACGACACCGATGAACATGTAGGTGAAGGTGACCAAGAGGAAGGCGATGCTCAGGTCTCTATTCTGAAAACAAAAGTTAAGGCTGAGGTGGACGTTCTTGGGGGCCGCTTACGTTGTTCTTCGGATTTCTGTTGCTTCGCATAATGGAAATGATGATGTTGTGTATGAAGTAGCTTAGAGATAGCATTCCACTCAGTGCGCAGAAGGTGGATTTGATGTTGAACTCGATCACCCAACTGTCCATGTTGATGCCCCACGTGCTCGATTTGACCGCGACGAATATTAAGAGGTACATTACGCTTAGGGTACCTAAGGCGAAGGTTGTAGAACGCGTGGGTTAGCTCAGAAACCCTTACCTAAACTATTAAACTTGGTAAAAAAGGTGGGGCTTTTGAAATTTAGCAGTGGAAACATGAGCACTGCCAGAATCACGGGGGTGGTACTGTAGATGTCCCATATTCGATCGAAACCCTCCGCTTTGCTGTCCAAAGGGTCCACCACTGTCACATTGCTCGAATTCTTTGGACATATCACAGTTGAGTTGGTTGGCAGCCCGTTAATTGACAAGAGGTAACCTACACCGCGAGCGTTAGCTTTGGCCCACTATCCCTGTGTGACCTACCGTATAGAACACGTACAGAGTGGTACAAAAAGTTTGACATCAGCACCCAGTACACTATGTTGGAACCAATCAGGACGATCAGCGAGAAGATCCTCGCAATGAACTCGGCCCACTTCCCCAGCAAAATTCGAGCGAGATCGCTCACTTCGTTCTGGTGACCATTGACGCCTGGAAATTACGCGTTAACCCAATATCCAAATCGTTGGGAATTTACCGTGGTCCTCGTTAATGCGCAAAATTAGATAGCAGGTGTAGAGGCAAAGGGCGGCGACGACGATATTGACCAAAATTCCCGGAAAGAGGCCGGCCCTTTCCATTCCCCACGGCATGGCTAATAGCGACGTTCCCATTATCGTGTTCCATATCGCGAATCTACAAAGAAAAGCCACAATTTTTGGATGATGAAATAGTGGACGATTTTAAGTCAGCGCGTCTTTATCGCTGTGTGAAAGGCCAAGTACACAAATTGTTCATCGGTCAATATAGCGAATAAATAAATATATGTTTCGATAACATTCCAATTTGATGCGCCTAATTGCATTTATATTAACATTACCAGAGCACACCATGGCATAGGTGATCTTGATAATAGTCATCAGAAGAATGATAAAATGATAATTTTTGGTGGTTGGGAGTCGAAATTACGTTTACTTACACTGTTACTAGTGAACCTTGTGTTTTTGGCACCATCTCGATGTCGACATAGTCGTTGGGGTCCTTTGTTTGGATCTGTAATAACAAGAAAACAATTGGCTGTTTAATTACTTCGACTTTTGATCGTTGTAATATTGATTATTGTTACTGGATGTCCACTTTTTAAAACTTGCATAATATCCTGTAGAGATAAGCAAATTTGAAACACTAACCCCAGTGGCCGACATAGCTTTTAGGTGTTACGGATACAGGATGTCCAAATTTCTCAAAATTGCATATCATATTCCACACTTTAAACACACTGTATAGTAAAAAATTTAGTAAAAGCTCAGTAAAAGGGCTAATTCCCACGCTCGATTCATCCAGATAAAAAGCAAAATTTAGTATTGGCTTTAGCTTCTATGGATTTCCAAGAATTGCGTATCATACTATACATACAAAATAGATTAAACACACTGTATACATAGAAATATGGGAGCCATCTTAAAAACGTAATTCCCAAAGCAACGTAACTAGTTTAATTTTCGCTTTAGCTTCTACGGACGTCAAAATCTCTTAATATTACATAAAAATTTGAAACACACTGTATAAATAAAAATTTGGGAATTTGTTTAATGTTTCCCGAAGATGCATAATTTAACTCCAAAAGCAAATAACTTGCACTTTTTGCTTACCAATCAAAAAATTGGTGCTGTGCGGTAGTACAATATTTTTTACAAAATAGCGCATAATTTGCGCCAATAGAATTTTGTTTAAAAGAAAGGCAAAGCGGTCTAGCTACCCAAATAGTTAAGGTTTTTCGATATTTTTTATTTTCCAACTCAAAAATTCTCTCCAGCGGCACAATATGACGAATAAGCCCAGTTTTTAAATCTGGATATCAAAAAAGTGATTTTTGAAAAAGTTAACAGAAGTGAAGTAGTTGGGTCCGTTAACTTGGCCCCCCCACTGAGAGATTTCATTCGGGGTCCGTTAACTTGGCCCCCCCACTGAGAGATTTGATAATCGTATTATTTTGAAATGAATGCGCCTTTTGTCCCTTGTAACTAGGTCACCTGATACATTTGGTTATGCGCTCAATTGCGCCACTTGAATTAAAGCTAGCGCCATTACGGTTAAGCCGTGACAAATTTTCAAAAAGTGGGGGGCCAACTTAACGTTTTAAAAGTTACTTTTTTTAACATCTTTTCATACGAAATTGTACTCTCAGGTATGCGCTGAAATGCGCCGTAAAAAGATATCTTTGCGCCATTATTGTTTTTTGGTTATCCTTAAATATATTTGGGGGGGCCAAGTGAACGGAATCCCCCATAACGCATTTTGCTACCGGTATTTGTGCCACTTGATACATCTGGTTATGAGCTCAATTGCGCCACTTGAATTAAAGCTAGCGCCATTACGGTTAAGCCATAAACAATTTTTAAAAAGTGGAGGGTCTAAGCGTTTTCAAAAGTTATTTCCGGAAGTGCGTCCATTTTGAAAATATTTTACATCGATTCGGCCTTCGGAGTAACTCCTAAATAAAAATTTTTAAAAACCTACCTATTTTACTTTCCCAGAATCGTTTAACTAAAGCTCCCAAAAAAACACCCTGTATAGTGTTTCTGAAACACTATAATGGCGCCAAGATTTTTGTTTACGGCGCATTTTAGCGCATGATGAAAGGTACGATGTAGTAGAAAAAACATGTTAAAAAACGTAACTTTTGAAAACGTTAAGTTAGCCCCCCCCCCCCACTTTTTAAAATTTTTTTATGGCTTAACCGTAATGGCGCTAGCTTTAATTCATGTGGCGCAATTGAGCTCATAACCAGATGTATCAAGTGGCACAAATACCGGTAGCAAAATGCGTTATGGGGGATTCCGTTCACTTGGCCCCCCCCAAATATATTTAAGGACAACCAAAAAACAATAATGGCGCAAAGATATATTTTTACGGCGCATTTCAGCGCATACCTGAGAGTACAATTTCGTATGAAAACATGTTAAAAAAAAGTAAGTTGGCGTTAAGTTGGCCCCCCCACTTTTTGAAAATTTGTCACGGCTTAACCGTAATGGCGCTAGCTTTAATTCAAGTGGCGCAATTGAGCGCATAACCAAATGTATCAGGTGACCTAGTTACAAGGACAAAATACGTACTGGGAGGGGGCTACGTTCACTTGGCCCCTCCTAAATGTTTTTTCGGATTTCTAAAAAACGATAATGGCGCAAGAGTTATTATCGGTGGCGCATATGAGCGCATAACGAGCGCATTCATTTCAAAATAATACGACTATGAAATCTCTCAGTGGGGGGGGGCCAAGTTAACGAACCCGTGAAGTAGTCAATTGAAAGTGGGCTCGTAGTACACCACTATGGACGAATAAAGGTTTTTTTTACAGTTGGAGCTCAAAAATGGGTTCCAAACTGGGTAAAATGGCTCAATTCGACAGTCAAATCATTGAATTTTTGCTGATGATACAAAAATTCTATTTCAAAGAATTTTGTTTTAAATTAAAGCAATAGAACGTGATTTGTGATGGGGGTACACGATTTTAAACAATAAAGGGCATAAGGCAAAGTTTACAAAATGGCGCACAATTCTCGTGTAAAGCCTATATAATTGTGAAGAATTGTACTTGCACTTTTTGTTCAAAATTAAACTAAAATGATTGCGGATTTGTGCAACTTAATGCTCCTTTTCCACAAGTTAGCGCACAATTCGCGCCTGCAGTAAGAGCTCGAAAACTCTAACTGCCCAAATAGAGCAAAATTGTCCGTTGAGGGCTGTTTTTAAAAGACTCATTTTTTTGAATTTTTGCTGATGGTGCAAAAAGTATTATGTTTGAAGTTGGGCAAATTTTGTTGATATCTGTATAATTAGGATTAAGTCAACTGAAGCGATCTTCCTCGGGTAAATTTTGAAATTTTTCCTGACGATCCAAAAATTTGCTCCAAATCCGCAAGGGGGCTTATAGTTCTCCCTTGAATTTTGCATAAGAAAAGTGTGATTTTCAAAATTATCTACGGAATGGAACTTCGACAGGCGATTTTTTGTTGATTTTATTCCAAAAGCGATCAACTCGTCCTTTTTGTTCAGAATTAAAAATTGATGTTCAGATGTTGGAGGTTTGCTAACTCTGAACAAAATTGCATAAAATTCATTTCTATTGTAAAAGACTATCCGGGTGAATAAAGGTTTTCTGATCTTTTTTTTATAATTGTAGCTCAAAAATGGGCCCCAGCCGGCGCAAAATGGCGCATAATTCTCACTTTAAATTTACTTACAGGGATATTTTTGAAAAGTCAAGAGAAACGAAATTCGTCGGTCAAACCTTCGAACGTTTTGCTGATTCCATTTGAAATGATGGCCACTTTTGACTGTTTTTTCAAAATTTAAAAAAAACTAAATAAAGGCATTCCAATCAGTTTTTGAAACAGTGATCGAAAGTTGAAGTCGACCAGCGTATTTTTGAATTTTTCTGAATACGAAAAAATTTCATTGCAAAAGTGAATAAGCTGTACTTTTTGTTCTAAACTTAAAAAAACTGAGGGCGGACAAATAAAAACATATTTTTAATGTCGCCAAATGGCGCCTAACTCTCGTTCGATTGCTGTTTTTAAAAGAGTCAAACGAAGCGAACTTGGTTAATGGTTAGTCAATTTTCTTGAATTTTTGCTGACGATGCAAAAAACAGTCAGTCAAATTATGCGAATGGGTAACGGCAATTTCGTTCCAAAGGCCGAAAATAGCGTATACTTCCCGCTGGAAATTTGCTTAAATGACGAATTTCGGAAACGAATTTTTCATAAATTTGGGCGGGTGGTGCAAACAAATTCATTTTATGGGTTGATAATTTGTGCTGCTTTCTCAAAATTAAAAAATAATGCAGGGTGAAAAGTATTACTTTTCAAGCAAATTTTTTTGATACCTGGATGAGTAAGATCAAGTCCTCGGGTAAATTTTTGAATTTTTTCTGATGCAAAAATTTCATTCCAAAAACGAATAACCTCAAACTCAATGAAAACTGAGAGCGGGCTTCTGCAAATGGTGCGCGATTTTTACAAGCTAGCGCATAATTCACGCCTACTGTAAGAGTAGTAAACGTAAGCGAAGTTCTTTGGTAAACTTTCTAAATGTTTGCTGATGGTGCAAACATTCCGTTCTAATAGCCAATAATTTGTACTTTTTGTAAAATAAAAAAAATATCAGGTTTGGAACTCAAAAATGGCGCATAATTCTCGCTTGAAATCTGATTAATAACAGGGACGCTTTTCAAAAGTCAAGAAAAGCGAAATTCGTCAATCAAATCTTTGAATTTTTACTGATGGTGCAAAAATTCTTTTCCAAAGGCGACCACTGGGCTTTTAATTCAAAATTTAAAAAAAAATTGAAGGTGAACTTTTGCAAGGAGTACACGATTTCGAACAAAAAGCCCATAATTCAAACTGAGGCAGATTATTTTGGAGTGCTGAACTGTGAAAATGGCGCCTAACCCTCCCCCGAATGCTGTTTTTAAGAGTTAAACGAAGCCAACTTGGTTAGTCAATTTTTTTGAATTTTTGCTGACGGTGCAAAAAACAGTCCGAATTTTGGTCGACGGAAAATTGTTCTTTTTGGACAAAATTCAAGAAAATGTTGTCGGGTTTGTGCAAGTAACACACAATTTTTACAAACTAGGGCTTAAAACATTTTTTTTAAGATAGAAGACAATTTCGTTCTAAAGGCGTAAAATGGCCGCTGGAAATCTGCTTAAATGTCAAAATTCAAGAAGCTAAATCCAATTTTTGAATTTCTTCTGCCGATGCACAAATATTATTCAAAAGGGGAATCTGCGTTTTATGCTCAAAATTAAAAAAAAGTGCAAGTTGAAACTTTAAGGTTATAGACAAAATCGCGGATTTTTAGTTTATTTTAAAGAAAACCAGGACAGTGAAACTACAAGGGTGGATACAGGGTTCTTAACCTTTCTTTGCTCAAAAACAGAAGCGAACTTTGTCCCCAACTCTTTAACTCCCTCCAAACGTGATTAAATGGTGCTTTTTAATCAAAATTCAAAAAATTGAAGGCGTGGCTTTTGCACGATTTTGAACAAAATGACGGATACTGCAAAATTAGCATTTACATATAAAAGATGTTAGGTATTTCAAACAAACTTGGAGGGTAAGCCGAATGAATAGGGTTTTTTGAATTTTATTTTTCGATTGGGACCGAAAAACTTCCAAAAATTAAAAATGCATAGTGATCTGACTGGTATTGTACAAACTTACAGGACCCCACCCCCCTCCAAGTATTTTGGTTGCGAAAAAAGTAGTCTTGGGCTAGTGTTTTAATGACCCTTCTTGTATGGGCGAGCGAGTGAGTGAGAAAGACGTACTTACCAAGGATTTTTGGCTGATATCCAAAAGACCATTGAGATGGGGATACTGCATTATATACGGGAACCTCTCCTTCTCGTGGATGCAGATGTCCACGATCGAGGACTCAAAATCGGTAAACGTGTACGGCCTCCTAAATTCGATCTCTGTTAGAAATGAAGAACTGCAAGTTCGAAAGAGGTCTTACTGGATGCTGGTGCGCTGAGGAGGAACCGAAAGTCCAGGTGGCGACGGCGTCGCCGTAACCGTCTCGCAGTCGGTCGTCTCCGAATCGTACATGCCAATATTTCCGGTTCTGCAAAACAAGACACGCACTTAAGGTCACAGTTCACCAAGCGTCGCCGAAGAGGGTTTACCCGTAGCTCGCCACCGAGCTCTGCGAGCTCAAAATCGACTGGGTCTCCGTGCCCGAATCTTCTGATCTTCTCCGCTTGAGCAGCATCGCGTAATGCCTTATCAAATCTGAAAGGTGTCGGCTAAATACTGCAGCAGCAGGCGATCGTCGAATGAAAAATTACCCCGCATGGTCGTCCTACGCCGATCCGACGACTGTCGTCATAATGGCACTCAGTGAAAACTCGGCGCACAAATAAACTATACAGCACTAAATCGATTCCGTGTGATATTTATATTCAAATATAACGATAAGGGCCGGGATGTGTTTTCCTTTTTTTCTATATCAATAACCTTATCAATCTTCATTTATCAACAGAATACGTAACGTGCATGGGAATGTTGACGTTGTGCTTTCGACGCGGAATCATCTGTTCCTCATTCCAATCCGTTGGGAAATTCGCAAACGCGGAAGTGGATCCGCGAGCATAACAAGGCCGTTTGGCGATATCGAAAACTGGCGCGTCTCATGGATGACGCCAGTCCCAAAACCTTGCAACTGAATTTGGTGGCCCCCTATTCGAGTTCGCGTTTGCGTCACTGAGAGATCGAGATTCCGGTCACGTTCCAGTTTTCTGCATCTACCTACAGTTCATCCCCAGTCTCTTGGTCTTCTTGGTTTCTTGGTTTATAGTTTTTTCAAGCGTTTTCAAAAAACGTTTGGAAGCGAATTTCAGGGGGTTTCAAAGGTCTCAATGAGCCTTTCATTATCCTTAAAGAGCACCCAAGGCTCATGTTCAACTTCTAACACATAAAGCCTTTGCTACCTTTAAAGGTGGTCACGACCTTTCAGAGATCTCCAAGAGTTTTTTTTAGTCTTTGAAAGCCTTCCAAAGGTTTCATTAGTCTTCAACAAAATTAAACCTCACAATTTTTGAAATCTTCTGGACACCTCGAATGCAAACTTCCTGACACCTTTACTTACTAAATTGAGCCTTCTAGAAATATTTCCCTCGAAAGTTCTCCAGTTCTTCTCCAAGCTCACTAGCAGCTTTCCTTAAATCTTCCCAAAGTTCGGTTTGGTGGTCTACTCACAATCATCCGCATGTCTGGTTAATGTGAATTCCTCTTGACATTTCTTGAAGAGTGTTTCGGGGTTTGTTCGAAAGGAAAATCCTAAATCTTCACGAAATCTAAAAATCTTGGCCAAGTCTTCCCAAAGCTATCTCATAGACCTTTTAAGGGTAAGGTTTCCCTTCTGGAGAATATTCCATACACTCTAGACTCCCTGATGCTTCCTTTTTCCATCCAAAATGTTTAGAGACCTGGTCACTTTCATAATAATTTTGAGGAAGGGGGGGGGGGCATTGTAATCTGGAGCTATTAAGATATTTTTTAATTTTTTAGAGATGTCTTTTAAAATGATTCCCTGTAGCGATTTCTTAAGGATCTGGACAGTCGAGGGTCTCTAAAATCTTGTGAGCATTCAAAGCTTTTAAAATCTTTTAGACACTTCCCCACTGTCTCAACCGTTTTGGACTGGGCGAAGGTTTTGGAGGTTCCGAAGGTCTAGGTTTGAAGATCTTAAAGATTTGAAGTTATTGAATGCTTTTGGATTTTGATAATGTGGGAGATTTTAAAAGTTGTACAAATCTCGGAGCCCTTGAGAAAGTCTTATAGATTTTGAAATCATTAATTTGACACCTGAAAAATACTAAAGGCCTTGAAAACACGGAGTATCGTAGAAATCTGAGTGCAAGGCTTTTACCTGTCTTGAATCCTTGCATTTTTTCAGGGAATTACGAGGCTTAAGAGTCATGGGTGTCTCAGTAGAGTTCATTTGTGACCATTGTAGGTGCGTGCTCTAAATATTCCGCTGAAGGAGCAGCCACTCTTAGGGAGGGGGGTACAATATCACCGAGGTTTTGGGCCATGAAAGTCTCCAGGGGATCCATGATTTGTAAGATCTCTAAGATCTCCAGGACCATCAAAAACTTAAGGCACCAAATAACTTCAAATTTACGAGATCCACAAAATTCTCAAAACCTCCACCCAATGTACAAATTACGCGTTTTTCAGAGCCTTTAAAAGTCTGTTATATTCTAAACATATTCCGTAGATGTTCTGAAGGAATTCTGAACAGATTCTGAACAGATTCTGAAGAGGTTCTGAAGAGATGCGGAAGAGATTCTGGAGAGATATGTGTAGATACTGAAGAGATTCTGAAGATATTCTGAAGAGATTTTGAAGAGATTTTGTAGATGCTTTGAAGAGATTTCTGAGAGATTCTAAAGAGGTTTAATGGAGATTTTTAAGAGATTCTGAAGGTATCTTGAAGAGATTTTGGAGAGATTTTGACGAGATTCCAAAAAGATTCTGAAAAAATCGGTAGAGCTTCTGAAGAAATTCTGAAAAGAAGGGATTCTGGAGAGATTCTGAAGACATTCCGAAGAAATTCGGGAATATTCTATAAAGATTCTGAAGAGATTCTGAAGAAGAGGTTTTGAAAAGCTTTACAAGAGATTCTGAACAGATTCTGAAGAAATTATGGAGCGATTCTGAAGAGACGGGAAAAAGATTCTGCAGAGATTTTGAAGATGGAAGCGAGTTTGTAGATTTTGAAGAAATTTTGAAGAGATTCTGAAGAGATTTTGAAGAGGCTCTGAAGAGGTTCTGAAGAGAATCTGAAGACATTCTGAGGAGGTTGTGAAGAGATTCTGAAAAGGTTCTGAAAAGATTCTGAAGAGATTTTGAGGAGATTTTGAAGAGATTTTGAAGGGGTTCTGAAGATATGCGGAAGAAATTCTGGAGAGATTCGGAAGAGATTCGAAAGAGATTCGAAAGAGATTCTGAAGAAATTATGGAGCGATTCTGAAGAGACGGGAAAAAGATTTTGTAGAGATTTTGAAGATGGAAGCGATTTTGTAGATTTTGAAGAGATTTTGAAAAGATTTTGAAGAGATTTTGAAGAGATTTTGAAGAGATTTTGAAGAGATTTTCAAGAGTTTCTGATAAGATTATAAAAAGATTCTGATGAAATTTTGAAGAGGTTTTATAAAAATTTTGAAGAGATTATAAAGAGGTTCTGAAGAGATTCCGAAGAGTTTCTGAAGAGATTCTGAAGAGATTCTGAAAAGGTTCTGAAGGGATTTTGAGGAGATTATGAAGAGATCTTGAAGAAATTTTGAAGAGGTTCTGAAGATATGCAGAAGATATTCTGGACAGATTATGAAGAGATTTTGAAGAGGTTCTGAAGATAAGCGGAAGAGATTCTGGAGAGATTATGAGGAGATTCTGAAGAGATTCTGAAGAAATTGTGGAGCGATTCTGAAGAGACTGGAAAAAGATTCTGCAGAGATTTTGAAGATGGAAGCGAGTTTGTAGATTTTGAAGAAATTTTGAAGAGATTCTGAAGAGATTTTGAAGAGGCTCTGAAGAGGTTCTGAAGAGAATCTGAAGACATTCTGAGGAGGTTGTGAAGAGATTCTGAAAAGGTTCTGAAAAGATTCTGAAGAGATTTTGAGGAGATTTTGAAGAGATTTTGAAGGGGTTCTGAAGATATGCGGAAGAAATTCTGGAGAGATTCGGAAGAGATTCGAAAGAGATTCGAAAGAGATTCTGAAGAAATTATGGAGCGATTCTGAAGAGACGGGAAAAAGATTTTGTAGAGATTTTGAAGATGGAAGCGATTTTGTAGATTTTGAAGAGATTTTGAAAAGATTTTGAAGAGATTTTGAAGAGATTTTGAAGAGATTTTGAAGAGATTTTCAAGAGTTTCTGATAAGATTATAAAAAGATTCTGATGAAATTTTGAAGAGGTTTTATAAAAATTTTGAAGAGATTATAAAGAGGTTCTGAAGAGATTCCGAAGAGTTTCTGAAGAGATTCTGAAGAGATTCTGAAAAGGTTCTGAAGGGATTTTGAGGAGATTATGAAGAGATCTTGAAGAAATTTTGAAGAGGTTCTGAAGATATGCAGAAGATATTCTGGACAGATTATGAAGAGATTTTGAAGAGGTTCTGAAGATAAGCGGAAGAGATTCTGGAGAGATTATGAGGAGATTCTGAAGAGATTCTGAAGAAATTGTGGAGCGATTCTGAAGAGACTGGAAAAAGATTCTGCAGAGATTTTGAAGATGGAAGCGAGTTTGTAGATTTTGAAGAAATTTTGAAGAGATTCTGAAGAGATTTTGAAGAGGCTCTGAAGAGGTTCTGAAGAGAATCTGAAGACATTCTGAGGAGGTTGTGAAGAGATTCTGAAAAGGTTCTGAAAAGATTCTGAAGAGATTTTGAGGAGATTTTGAAGAGATTTTGAAGGGGTTCTGAAGATATGCGGAAGAAATTCTGGAGAGATTCGGAAGAGATTCGAAAGAGATTCGAAAGAGATTCTGAAGAGATTTCGAAAAGATTTTGTAGATGTTTTGAAGAGGTTTCATGGAGATTTTTTAGAAATTCTGAAGGTATCTTGAAGAGATTTTGGAGAGATTCTGACGCGATTCTAAGGAGATTCTGAAAAATTCGGTAGAGCTCCTGAAGAAATTCTGAAGAGACTCTGATGAGATTCTGGAGAGATCCTGAAGTCATTCCGAAGAGATTCTGAGAAGATTCTGAAGACATTCCGAAGAGATTCTAAAAAAAATTCTGAAGCGATTCTGAAGAGATTGGAAAAAGATTTTGCGGAGACTTTGAAGATAATTGAAAGAGTCTGATAAGATTCTAAAAAGGTTTTAATGAGATTTTGAACAGGTTTTACAAAGATTTTGGAGAGATTATGTAGAGATTCTGTAGAAACTCTGTGGAGAATCCAAAAAAATCTTAAAAATGTTTTCAAGAGATTTTCAAAATTTTCAGATTTTTAAGAGATTGTGAAGAAATTTTGAAGAGAACTTTAAGAGACCCGGAGACGCCATCGGGAAGTCCGGGAAGAGTTTTCTTTTCTGTATGAGATTTTGAAGAGCCTTTTAAAAGACTTTGAAGGGACTTTGAAGTGGTTTTGAAGTAATTTTGAAGAGATTCTAAGGAGATTTTGATTAAATTTCGAAGAGACTTTGATGAAATCTTGAAAACACTGAAGAGGTCTTGAAGAGATTTTGAAGAGGTTTTGAAGATATTTTGAGGACATTCTGAAGAGATTTTGGAGAGATCCAAAGCCATCTTAGAGTCTTTTAGGAATACCGTTTAACATCCTTTTCGCAATTCCATCGATATCTTATCAACCCCGATCTTTATTTCCCTCAATTCTTTCGACGTCAACTCCAAGTCATCTAAAAATCGGCGACGTCATTCCAATACTTCCTTGAAATTCTGAAGTCATCTCCACCAAAATATCTGG